CTCGGTCCCCGCCCCCAGTCGGCCTCCGCTCGGCTCCGCTAGGCCTCGCAGTCCCCTTCGCCCACCGCTCAGCTGGGCCGGCCGTAGGTCCCTGGAAGACGCTCTGACACCAGGCCTGCAGGCCCGCAGTGGCCCTTTCAGGGACACCCTCCCACCTGGCCCTTGTAGGCTTGACTGCACCCCAAGGCAATCCCCTCTGCTCTTCCCACTGCCCGGCCGACCTAACGTGGCGCAGCCGGGGCCTCAGACTGACCCCAAGCTCAGAGCAGGTCTCAGCTCGCCCCTCTTGCTGGGCGAATGATTTACCCACAGAGGCCTGGGGGCAAGCCTTGAGGAGGCATCTAGAGTAGGATGCCTGCCCCTGCAGTGCCCGAGGAACCTTACAAGAAGTCACAATGAAACGGAGCAGGGCCCTCAGGCTGGACAGAGGGGCGGCAACAGCCTTTGACCCCTGAACCACCTCCCCCTACACAGCCAGGCCTGCAGGCCCTGAAGGGGATGTGTGCTAAACTGGACATTTAAAATCATACACAGTAGCCGGCTTGATTTGCTCATGCACCAAGGCTCATAGTTACACATCCCAGGCTTTTCCAAAATAGCCAGATCTGAAGCTAGTGTGCCAAGCAGAAGTATCTGTGGAGCCTAAGATCCAGTGAGGATAATATCCAAATCTGTGCATGCATTCCAGGCGTCTGTGCCACTCAGAAACACCATAGGTCCACATGGATGGATAGCAAGTCCAATCACGCCATGAGGAAACAGACAATCTATATTATTAAGCTGCTACAAAGCCCGGTGTGGTGGCGATCACTTTTAATTCCAGCACTCTCGAGGCAGAGGCAGGCAGATCTCTGAGTTAAGGCCAGACCTAGTCTACATAGTGAGTTCCAGGTCAGCCAGGGCTTCGTAGGGAGACCCTGTCTCCAAAAATAAAAACGAAACAAAACTGCTACAAGGAAAAAGAAAAAACATAATGTGTCTCCAGGTTCATCATAGCCCTGATACCAAGATCCAACAGAGACTATGCCGAAGAACACAAGTGAGAATGCTGTCCCTAGAGAGCGCAATGGATGCTCTTTGATAAAAGGTGTCTGCTATCTAACAAAGTCCTGCGTGCCACCCATCTGGCCACTTTCGGGAGACTTACCAGTGTTAAAATACAGAAGCCACTGTAATGCCTAGCAGTAAAACAAAAACCAGGCTCGCTTGTGTAGTCAGCCATTGCCCAGGATCAGCTGGGCCACGATCACTCATTTCAAAGCTCACCAGTTAACCTCCCACTGTATGAATCACGGCCATAGACAGACACACTTAAGAATATGGCTGTCACCCTTCTAAATAAAAGTGTAGTTTTTGATCCAGCTTATTGTAAAACTAGCCCAGACTCTCTATGATCTCCATGGTATTTTGTTCAGTAAAAAGCAGGTTCTGAGGGTAAGGAGTCAGTAAAGTATTTGCCATGCAAGCGTGAGAACCTGAATTCAACTGGGCATGATGGTTTGTACTTGTAATCCCAACACTGGGGGAGCAGGTAGGCAGGTCTTTGGAGTTCACTAGCCATGGATCTAAGCCTTGTAAGAGAGCCTCGGTTCCCACTCAGAGACTGTCTCAAAACATAGAGAGGACACCTCATGAAGTCAACACCCAATGTGCACTTCTGGCCTCCACACATATCTGCACATACATATATACCCACACACATAGGAACACAGACACACCCATGCATGACACACATACACACACAGCAGGTTATAAAATATAATGTACTTTGTATATAAATGTCAATTTTGCATGCACTTATATTTATAAATATTCTGCTATGCATAAAGATATTTAGGCCAAACACTGATTTTTAACTTTGGCTGTCTCTTAGAGATTGTTTACACACAAAGCATCATTTCTTTTATTTGTTTGTTTATTTATTTGTTTATTTATTTATTAAGCATACAATATACTGCTGGCAAGGAAGGCACCAGGTCTCATTACAGATGGTTGTGAGCCACCATGTGGTTGCTGGGAATTGAACTCGGGACCTCTGGAAGAGCAGCCAGTGCTCTTAACCTCTGAGCCATTTGTCTAGCCCCCAAAGCATCATTTCTATGTTAAGGTATTCATCTCACTTAGGAACACGATGCATGTGTTTCACTGGACACCAGTCCTCTTCCTTCAGTGTCCTTATGTGGGAACAGTCATTAAGAGCACACATCCCAGGGCTGGAGAGCTGGGCACTTGCTGCTCTCAGAGAAGACCTAGGTTCAGGTCCAGCATCCACACTAGACGGCACACAATTACCTGAAATTCCAGTTCCAGGGTATCTGAAGCTCTCTTCTGGCCTCTTCAAGCACCTGCATTCACATGGTACACACACTCAGGCCCATACACATAAAAACAAAGCAAAGAGTGCATGTCCTTCCACTGGGTATTAGCATCCTCATGTTGGTCCTCCCATCAGGCACTAGCAACTTCGGGTTGGTCCTTCCACTGGGCACTAGCATCTTGGAGTTTGTCCTTCCATTGGGCATTAGCATCCTCAGGTTTGTCCTTCCACTGGGCACTAGCATCCTCGGGTTGGTCCTTCCATCGGGCATGAGCATCCTTGAGTTGGTCCTTCAATTGGGAACTGGCATCCTCGAGTTGGTTCTTGCATTGTACACTAGCCTCCTCAGGTTGGGTCTTTTTCCTTGTGGACACAGACTTGCTCCCCTGCTTCAGATGTCATGGTCTCCTTTCCCAAGGCAGGAAATGGGAAGCAAAATGTTTCTAGAAACTCTCTCTCAATAAATCTGCTTAAGATTGCATTGGCCAGAAATAGCCACATGACCACGCCCCATTGCAAGGGAAGCTGGGAAATTTGCTTCCACAGTTGTGGTCACTTAGAACTACCAAGATGGCCAGGCCATTTAAAAAAAAAAATAACTATTCTATTACCAGAGAAGAAAGCAACTAAGGCTTTTTAAAAGATTGTGATAGTAAGTATATCCTTATAGGGCTGGAATGATGATTCATACAAATTGTCCTCTGACTTACACACACACACACACACACACACACACACACACACACACACACCTCACATACACTAACAATGAATAATATATTTAATCCTGGGGAAAATTTCTGATTAGTTTATCTATTCTGAAGACCACCCTAACCTAATCAAGCCAACTATGTCAGCAAAGAACCCAGTTACTTCTACTGCAAGAGATGTTGTTAGTACCGTGGGTGGTCCCAGGAGAGCTCAGCAATATTTTGGTTTAGTGTGTGTTACAATTATATCTACTTGTTTCCTTCCTACACCCTTCCCCAGATGGCCCTCAAGCTCAGGAGGTACACCACATTGTCTCTCTCCTATCCAGCCTCACATTTACTGTCTGATTCTGAGGCTCAACCTTTCAAAATCTCCCCCACATTCCTACCCATGTCAGGAAATTAGCTTACCCTTTCCCTCCATCTTTCTCCCTTTCCTAGTTTCTCTTCCTTCCTCCCTCCCTCATCTTCTGTCCCTCCACCCTTCCCTCTCTTTCATCTCTCTGTGCCTGTGTTCATGTGTGAGTGGGCAGATGCTACTCTAACAATGTGTCCCTCCAATGATCTTTAAACTCTATGGCCAACAAGGCAAGTTGCCAGTCTCCCAATGCAAGACTTTAAACATTCAACTCTCTTTGAAGAAGCTGGTCCTAGCAACTCAAAAGCATAGTGTCTTTCAGACTATTTATCTGCATGGATTCTTGTAAAACTCTTAACATCTCGGGAGATTTTATTTGTATAAAGCAGTTTTAGGTTTATAGCAAAGTTGAACACAAAGCACAGTGTCCCCTCATATACCCTTTACCTTCATTACACACGCAACTACCCACCCACATTGACATATCATTGTCACCCCAAGTCCAGAGCGTACATCAGAGCTCATTCTCAGAGTGTGTGTCCTTTGCCTTTAGGTATACATAATGACATGAGTCTAGCACCATACTGTATATTTCTGGCCCCAAATACCACCACACACCTGTTCAGCCTTCCTTCCCATACTGCTGGCTATAAAAAAAAGTCATCTCCAAATTTCCACCTTTCCCAGAATATCACATAGTTGAAGTCTAGACTCACACCCCTCACTTCCAGACATAGAGGGTAATCTGTATCTTTTCTTTCTTCCCTTTAAAAATAAACAAGATAAAGAGAAGAATAAAAATAGTCTTTATTTTTCTCATATAGAATTAACAGCTGCTATTATGTTTTCCTAATGACTTTTTTGTTGTTCCAAGGTTTAACTTATAATAGGACACTCATTGAAGGTGGAGAAGAAATGCAATCTACTGTTTCATTTCTGTTACTCTGATAAAGTAGTCTGATGAAACCAGAGGAGAAAGGGTTTGTTTTGGCTCACAGTTCCAGGTTCCAGGGAAGTCACAATGGCAGGAATCGGAAGTGTCTAGTCACATCATTTTCACAATCAAGGGCAGAAAGAAATGAATGCATGCATCACTTGCTTGTTCGTAACTCACTTCTCCATTCTTAGATAGTTCAGGATACCTAGGGAATGGTGCTGCCCACAGTGGGATGGGTCTTCTCACATTGATTTACTCACAGCCACAGCCACTGGCCAATTTAATCACTCTCTTCTCAGGTCATCGTAGATGGTGTCAAGTTGACAAAGTGGACCATCACAGAGGGAAAATGCTCATTGCGAGGCTCTGAGTTATAATTAAAGAGGAGCAGAAAGGTCTGGGGTGCTGTTGCCGGGTGAGTTGACTGCAGATAGCCATGATGCAGAATGCTAGAGGGAAAGATTTTGAAAGGTTTGCTTTTTCTTTGCCACAAAGCAATGATAAACATTTGATAGTGTTTTTATTTTTTATCACTGAATGATATTCCACTGTCTGGATATACCGAGGATATTTATTCACCAGGCCTATACCTTCTGATGGGTATCTGATTGCTCTCCAGCTTAGCCAGTGTTCACCTGCCACTCTGCTTTCTACCGTGTGTCCTAATGGCAAGAGGCCCTCTGCAGAGCCGTGCTGTTGGACTTCTCAAGACCTAGAACCATGAACCTAGATCAACTCCATTCCTTTTGATTATCCCACCTCAGGCATTTTGTTACAAGAAACGGACCAATATGAGTTCCCTAAGGAGAAAGTCCCTCACGTAGGCACAAAGTTATTAAACATAAGAGGCCCACCTGACTTCCGACAGGACACCATATGAGTAAAAAGATGCCCCAGTAAAAGAAGACAAACTGACTTTCAATGTAACTCCCACCGTGCATGTGTTAAGGAGGACCTGTTGAATGAAATGTAGCAATTTTCCTGGCAGCTGCTGAATGTGGGGGACTGCACAGAGCTCTACGGTGTGCCAGAGCACAGATTCGGTTTTTATAGCATAAAGGATACTCAAGCAGAACTCTATGGAGCCAGCCAGTCTAAATTCCTGTGTATCCCTAGCTAGGACACCTAAGCGTATCTGTGTCTGTGGGCCATGCATGTGGATGACATATAAGAATGAATCAGCCCGTTTTCTGTGAAAAGAATATTCTCTACAGTATCATTGTTCCTTCCAGCTCACAAATACTAAGATGCCTCTTCGCTAATGACTGCATATCTGCTTTAGACACAGTGGGTTCATTTGGTTTCTTTGCAAACAACTCATGGTTGATTTCTAAATTATCTTTAGAATTTACCAGCCCATGAAATCCCAAAGTCTGGGAATCAGGGCCTGCTGTGGGAACTCCTTCTGCTCCTTCAGTCAATAGCCTTTAAGATACCAGTCCTCTTGTGGTCTGTCTCCAACCAGGACACAAGGAAAAAGACTGTCAAATCTGGCCAAGACAGGGTAAGATGGTACTGAAAAATTTCCTGCCTCTGAAAATGGTCTATCAGCTATGCTAGGCCTTAGCCAAAGTTGGTTGTTGTTCAATGTTGCAAATGAGACTTTGGGTGACTGCTCAGGTATCTAATTGTCTCCGTCATATATTGCTCGCTTTGGAAGCTGCTTGATTGTATTTCCTGCCTGCTCAAGTAATATTATCTCCCTTCTCAGGCCTTCAATAGGGTTGAAGATTAGATAGTCATAGTTACTGTTCTCTTATGATCTAGCCAAGCCATTTCCTATACAAACTTAGACTTCTTAGGATAGAATGTTTATTAAAACATTTAGCATACTTTCCTGGCTTAATATTATTTATGCTGGCTATAATTCTAATCTGATACTTATTATTTCTTTCTAGTGTAAATAGTTTTGTATTGGGTTTGGAACTCTCTTATTTAAACAAAACGGGGAGGTGCTGTGGGAAGCACATTCTGCTCCTTCAGCCAATAGCATTTAAGATACCAGCCCATTTTGGTGTGGTCTCTTATACTATAAATGCAGCTGTAAAACATGTGCTCTCTCTCTTGCTCCCAGCTTTCTCACTTTCTGCTGCTAGACTCTGTTCTTGTTCAGGCAGAGGACTGTTATCTAGGACAGTGATCTGTAAGTTTCCCCTAAATAAATAACCCTTTATTATTCATAATTCTGAACTGGTGTGGAATTATTTTGTGACTTCCGCCTTCAAGGGCCTCCCTCATTAAGAGTTCATGGTTTCAATCTTTTAACTCTAGCTTTGAAGTGAGCATTCATTTAGGCTACATGCTGTTGTGGAATATTTAAGTATGCAAAGGTGTGTTACATTTGTTTCTGCTGTGGAATGTTACTTTTGCTTATGCTGCATTTGTTTAATTATGTAAAGATGTTGCATTTTGTTTCGCCTTGCCTGCCTAAGGCACCTGATTGCTCTACTAAAGAGCTGAACAGTCAATAGTTTGGCAGAAAAAGGATAGGCAGGGCTGGTGGGCAGAGGAAATAAATAGAAGGAAAAGTCTAGGCTCAAAAAGAAGAGAAGGAAAACGAAGAAGAGAGAAAGAAGAAGGAGAAAGAGAGGAAAACTCCTGGGGCCAGTCAGGCTCAGGCAGCAGTCCGCAAGCAGACACAGAGTAGGACATACAGGAAGAAAGGAAGAAAGGCCCAATGCAAGACATAGAGAAACAGATTAAAATAAGAGCTAAGCTAAGGCCGACTCTCTGTGTCATGATTTGGGAGCTGGTTGGGAGCCCAAAAAAAGAAAGCCTGCTACAATATGCTGGATAGTTTTATGTCAACACAGGCTAGAGAAAATGCCTCCTGTGGGAAAGCCTGTGGTGTGTTTTCTTGTTGGTGGATGTTGGTGGGCCCAGTTCACTGTGGGTGGTGCCACCCCTGGCGGGTGGTCCTGGCTGCTATAAGCAGGCTGAGCAAGCCTTTAGCAGCAAGTCAGTAAGCAGTGTTCCTCCCTGCATCAGATCCTGCCTCTAGCTTCCTGCCTTGAGTTCTTTCCTTGACGTCCCTTCAAGATTGACTGTGATCAGGACATGTAACGTAAACACTTTCCTCTTCAATTTGTTTTTGCTCGTGAAGTTTTATCATAGCAAAAAACCCTAAGATAGAATACAAACTGCAGTATTTGATTTTGTTGTTGTTCAGGATATAAAATTGACCCATCATGTAAAGCTACAAATAACACTATTGTCCCGGTTATCATTAATTGTCAAGGAATCACAGCCTAGAGATACTCAAGATGGCATCTCAATTGAGAGATTGCCCATATCAGATTGACCTGTGGGTCTGTCTAGGGAGGATTATCTTGACCATGAATTGATACCAGCAATCTCAGTCCATTGTGAGTAGCCCCATTCCTTGGGTTGGTGGTGCTGGGCTGTACAAGCAGTCAGAAACTCCACGATGGAGCATGACCTGGAAGAGTATGCTGAAATAAACCCTTTCTTCCTCTAAGTTGGTTCTGGCCAGAGTGTGTTATCCCCACTACAAAGAAAGCTGGAAAGATATCCTTCAGAACCCAGTCACAGCTGGGACTCCCACTGCTCACGATTCGGTTTTCACACAGTGAGCGGGGTGGCAACTGAAACATAAATTAGCTTCTACTTCTGTCTGTAGTAGATACACTCCGTGCTTCCCAGTGTCGTTTCTGTGTTGCTTTGTGATTCCTAAATACCTTTGTATAGAGGTAGGCCTTCTGAACACTCTAGCCATGGAATATGAGCATGCTAGCAATATAGGAGATAGATAGATAGATAGATAGATAGATAGATAGATAGATAGATAGATAGACAGATAGATAGATAGATATTCATCTTAACTTCAACACCACCACCCTAGAGCTGCCTATGATGGGGGCATCACCTAGGCAGAAAGGCTGCTCTTGTCCTTCAGTCTCATAACGTTATTAATTTCATCTTGATGCTTATGGCTGCTTGTCACCACCGTGTGTTTTCCTATTTGATGACTTGTTTTCAGCATTCACTGTCTTGTCTCTCCTGTGTGCCTACCACAGAGCCTGGGACACAGCAGAGTGAACAAATGAAGGAACAAATGATGTCCCAGGTGTTAGCTGTGTCTAGTGAGCTGCAGGGCCGTGTCCCTGACGTAGCACTATATGACAAGCCTTACCCAAACAGTGGCCTACAGTAACAATAATCGCTTTCTTTATTCACAAATCTGTTGGGTCACCAGGCTCTGCCAGCACTCTCAGTTGGGGCCTCTCACGGTTTGTGTTCAGATGGCGATGTGGGCCCAGGGCATTCTGAAGACCTCCTTGCTTAAATGTCTAACTCTGAGGCTGATAAGAGTCACTGGTAGGTGCAGTGCTAATGCTGTGACCTAGCTGTATGACCTTCAGGCAGGTTACTTAATGTTCCTTTATTATAAAATTGGGATTGATGTAACAGTAGCAATCATTTACTAGACATTGTTCTTATTTTCTTCTCTGTTTCTATGGGAACACACACTGACCAGTAGCATCTTAGGGGAGGAAAAGACTTGCTTTAGCTTACACTTTCAGGACAAAACCCATCATTGGGGGAGGGCAGGGCAGGAACTCAAGGCAGGAAGCTGGAGGTGGGATACTGAGGCAGAAATGGTGAAGGAACACTGCTTGCTAGCTTGGTCACAGACCCATGCTTAACTAGCTTTCTAATATAACCCTGAACCACCTGCCTAGGGACCCTGCCACCCACAGTGTGCAGGGTCATCCTGTATCAATTACTGATCAAGACGATCACTCACAGACACCCCCACAGGCCAGGGTGATCTAGCCAATCCATCATTCGGGGTTTCCTGTCAATGCTTCAGGGTGTGTCAAGTTGACAACATTGACTAACACAGTTATCATCCGTATTTCAGACACAAGAAAAGTAGCCCAGACTTAGAAATGACCAAGAATGGTGGCTCTACCTATCAGGACTTTGCTGAACTCCAAAGGGGTGAAAAAACAGCTATCGTCTAGGTCTGGGAATGCGGAAACAGAGTCCAGCGCTGTGCTGAGAAGCATCTTCATCTGGGCCAGAGCAGAAACCTTGGACCTGGAAGCCAGTGCCAACTGCACTATAGTCACAAACTAGGTCCGGAAATACCAGTTCTGTGCAGTGTGACCTCCCAAAGATGCCAATCACACTGGAAACCAGTTACCAAGAGAAAGCCCAACAGTCACAACCAATATGACCTCTTATACCCCAAGTCTGGAGGAACAGTGCATTTGAGCTTGTTTGGTAAGATGAAGATAGTCATAACATCACAAACCAAGAACAGGAAAGGAGGAAAAGGAGCGGGTTGGTGTGTGCTGGGGCTGGGATGTACACACACACGGGCACACACACACACACACACACACACACACACCAAACTAGAACTAAACAGGCCAGGGCTGAACCTTGGTGTCTATGTGGTTTTTCTGAGGGTGGGAGAAGGTGAACCAGCAGACGACAGAGTCCCTTCTCTCAGGGCCAAGAGTGACCAGTGCCGCTGCCTTTTGTCTATCACTGGTTTTCAAAAAGAACAGAGCAACAACACCATCAGCTTCCTATATCTCAGGCCCGATGCAGATGGCGGAGAAAGTCTGGGTTAGCTACAACCTTGTTTTCACCAGGACTCGGACACGGGCCCTATTCCAAAGCACAGGCAATGTTTCATCAATTCATTCATTCATCCCCCCCTTTCCCAACCAAGCAACACCCCCGGACTCCTGGAGCCATCCGTGAGAACTCAGATTGCAACATCCTCCGTCTTGGGTATCAGTTTCCTCTAGGAGTCAACGGGAATAAAAACTGCCCCTTTCAGACCTGTGGCTTGGTGTAGAGCATTGCATATGAAGCACTGACCACAGTCCCAGAGGGCCCAGGACTGAGGGTTCCGCCTACCCACAGCCATAGGCATCAGGGAGCAGGACCTGAGTGGAGAGCCCAGCCTGGCTCTGATGGTGCCTAGACAAAGGGGCTTCTTTATGACTGCAGAGCCTCTCCTGGACCTGCTGCTCCTCAGCACCCCCCCCCCCCAGCACATTCCACCCAGGCCCACTGCTTTGCGTCTATGCCTGTTTTGTGACCGTTTTCAAGATCCAACAAGCCCCTGCATTCGCCCTGGAGGCAGCCCAGTCTCAGCTGCTGTCCCAGTGTGAGAGACCCAGCCGGATCCGCCCACTGTCCTCTGCTAACACAGATCCTTTGTTTTCTTCCAACTCTCAAATCCACAGAACCCTTTCTACTCCCCTCACAAGCTGCCTTGCAGCCTGGTAGCCGCAGATGCTCAGGGAAATTGCCACAGACATGCAGTTGTGGGTGCCCACATTTGCTGACACCCAGAAGATTCTGTTCTCTCTAGCCCCAGACTCCAGACCTCTGACATCATCTGACTCACAGACATACCCATCACAGTCAGGCTGATGCACAATGTTGACCAGGTCTCTTGGCTAAAAGCAGCACCAGACTCCAGAGCCCCAACAATGAATGTTCACAAAGATGGAGTCCTAGCAGGTCTGATGCTCAGATGGACACACATGCACCTGAAACAGAAGCACAGATGTCCTTTCTAGGGTCACTGAGACCCATGGGGCTGCCCTATATCCACAGACATTGTCATGAGCTGACATGTGATCTCAGAATGTGACAGTATATGGAGACAGGACCCTTAAAGGGTCATTAATGTTAAATGAGGTCACGAGGGTAGACCCAACTCTGGTGGGACTGGTGTCCTCACAAGAGACTAGGATACTTATGCACAATGTCAACCTAGTGATGTCATGGGGGGAAAGATGGCCAAAGAGAGAGGCCTTGGGACAAACCAACATTGCAGACACTTTGGCTTGGGACTAGCCTTTAGAAGCGTGAGCAACAAGTCTCTGTTGTTTAAGTCACCTGTCTATTGAACTTTTTAGGGTAGCATGAGCATGAAAGCTTAGACAAAGAGACCAAGAGTTCCCTGTAGCCTCCCCAGTGCAACGCCAGACCCATTTCCACTTCCTTACAAGGAGCCAGGAAGCAGATTGTCAACCACGTGTGTGGGGGGAGCCCGGGGCCTGATAGTGCACTGCGTTCCCCAGAGCACCTTCCTCAACACCAGAATGGAGTCTGACCTGTCTTTCCCCATCACTGAGATGCAAGGAGTTCTTGTTCTGCACAGCAGGACTGTGGGAGATGCTGTGAGGGTAGTGTCCACACATGCTGAGCCCCAACTGTTCATAGGAAGCCTCTGACCTCAACAACCCTTTGAGGGAGGTACTTCTAGAAAAAACAACCCCTAGTCCAGAGGTAGGAAAATGAGGCTCCCAGAGGTTGTATTAGCTTTCAGTTACAGTAACAAATACCCAGTGCGATCGACTGAAAAGGCCAGGCTTGATTTTGGCTCCTGACTTTAGAGGTTTCAGTCCTTGGTTAGTTGGTGCCATTGATTTTGGAACTGAGTTGAGGAATTGTGGAAGGAAGCTGCTCACTTCATGGGAGCCAGGAAGCGGGGTGGGGTTGGGGTACATGAGGTCCTAACACCCCTGCAAGGGCATGCTTCTGGTAAACTAACTTCTTCCCTGATAGACCCTAGTTCTTCGATATCCCATCGCCTCTGAGCGAGTACCATGGGTGGTTTTCAAGATGTCAACACATGGGCCTTTATCCAAACCTCAGCAGAGATCAAATAACTCTGATCAAATCAAATGACATCAGGACACATAGCAAAATCAGAGCTAGACTGGGGATCGACCCAAGGAGGCTTGGGTCAAGTCTGCCATGAGAGCTGGGGACAAGGTTGGGAGATAAAGGGTCTCAAATGCCTGGTGTCAGAGCAACTGAGCCACCAAGATGCCTTCCAGCCAAGTCCTTTGGACCTGAGAACCCAGATGACTGGGGATACAAGACCCAGGGCCCAGTGCTAAATAAAAACCTGAACCCCTTAGGAAGCTACAAAAAATTAAAATATTAAAAAGCAAAGCACCTACCTGCCTCTACTGTTCTTTCTTTTGGCTTCGCCTGATGGTTTTATCTGCTGTGTAATACTGCTGTAAGTAAAGAGTATAATATAATTTAAAATTATCACATGGATTTTAGTTTGCAGTTTGCAAAGTCCCCTTTAAATGCAAACAGGAGAGCGTTTAACTCCTGTGTAGAATTGCCTAGATTATTTGTAGCTCATATAGACAGATGTAGTTTGCTCTTTTTAGACACAGAATTACTGCCTCCAACTAGCTCAACTGATTGCATTTCATGTCATAATGCACACACATCTCCGAACACTATGTTAGCCCAGAGACAGGAAGGGAAGACTCAAAGGAACAAGAACTGTGGCTGCTTTGATTTCTTCCCTCTCACCCCTCCTTTTCTTTCTTCCTTGAGTGCTGGGGTTTGCCAGTACAGTATCATGCATGCCAGACATGCGTGTTCTAGCAGTTAGAATTACATTCCCAGCCCTCTGTTTACTTTTTACATTTATTTATTTGTGTGTGTCTGTAGAGGTTGGAGGACAACTCTCTTCCTCCGCGTGCAGTGGTTCGGGGCCTCTAGCAGATGCTGATAAGGCTCTGGTGCTCCTCTCCGGGGGAAGTCTGGGCGAAGACTCCGGTTGTCACAGATGCGGTGGAGGATGGTAGCAGGTATGTGGAGGCTGGAGGACAACTCTCTTGTGTGGATTCTCTCCTTCCACCATGTGGGTCCCATGGATCCAGCGTAGTTACCAGGTTTGGCAATCAGTGCCTTCACCACTGGGCAATCTCACTGGCCCTTAGTTTTGTTCCTTTCTTTCTTTGAAGCAAGGTCTCATAGAACCCGGGCTGGCTCTGCATTTCCTGAAAGCTGAGAATAACTTGACATCTGTTTCCCCTGCCTCTACCTCCCCACCCAGAGTGCTGGGATTACAGGCGTGCACCACCACATCTGGTTTATGCTGTGCTGGGGACTTAACCCAGGGCATTGTGCATGCTGGGCGAGCACTCTTCCAACGGAGCCACATGTCTGGTCCACTTCTTTTTTTTTTCCTTTTTGTTTTGGGACAGGGGCTCACTAAGTTGTCCAGGCAGGCCTTGAACTTGTGAACCTCCTGTCTCGGCCTCCCAAGTAGCTGACAATGTGTGCCACTGGACCTGGCTTCCTTTCCTTCTGGCCAATATTTCCAGTGGAAGCTAACACCGGGAGGTGATACAAAGAAGAGAGGCCATGATGTGGGTACATAGTCATTTGTGTGCCTTAGAACCTCACTGTCTCTCCAGTGTGTAAGCAGGTTCTGATCTAGAGGTCAGTGTACTCCCTTGGGGTGACACCCATGTGTGGTCGAAGTGACTTGCTAATCCTAATGGCTTTCAGTCACTCTGGACTTGTTGCAATGAACTCTGCACTCAGTGGGGCTTCAGACGTGTTCCATGTGCATGGCGAGCTGGGGATAGTGCGTGTACACTTGGTCGCTAGCATTTCTGTTCACATGTGTGTGCCATTGACTCATCACACTTGACTGAGGTAAAATCGTGAAGTAAATCAAACCTTCAGTAGCAAAGCAGGATCTAAGGGCAGGGCCTTCCTGGGTATGGAGGTAAAGATATGGGGAGCTTGTCACCAAATCTTGTCCTGCTCTCTCTGGCCACATTCCTGCCCTCCCCTCCTCCGTGGCTCCCAGTTTATCCTTTCTTGGGTTACTTTACTATGGGACTCACAGCTATGTCTCATCTCGTTAAGCCTGTATGCCTCCCAGGCCTTTCCCTTGCCAGGGCTTCCCCAATCAGCCTGGTTCTTCTGTCCCGCACTAGAGAGGAACAGATATGCCAAATTCCATCCTTAGCCAACCCGAATTCAGGATTTAGGAGTAACAAGGACATACTTGCTGCCTATTTGGAGGGGAACTGAGTGCCCCTTGATCCTTCTATGCCAAAGAATTGCCTCAAAGATTCAGAGCCTTCAAGGACCACTCATGGTCCCCAAGTCTCACTGGAGTCCAGGTGTGTGACATGCCTCCTGCAGGGTGCTTCTAAATGAATGTCCCTGGACATCAAGCTCACCAGCCTTCCGCCCCCATGTTAGTGTTAGGAAACTCCCAAAGTTTTAGCATTTAAAATGCTTTAGCATAAATCTCTGTTTTAACCTCCCCACCACATCCTCCAGACTCCGCCTCCACACTGCTCACACCTGCTCCAGGACCTTCCTCCCACCTCTGACCCGCCACTGTCTTTTCTATCACAGGCTTTTTTTGTCCCATCCCTTGTCAACTCCCCCACCTCCACCCCACAAGGCATGGATTCTTCACAGAGTTGTTGCTGGAGTTCCCAGGGCACCTGGAGACATTTAAATTCCTTCCTGGGTGAACTTTCCTACTGGAGAAAATAATCCCCCGAAGACTAAAATCAGGGTGAGCATTTGTATGTGAGGAGAAGGGTAGGCTGTCCCTCTGCTGTGTGGGGCCAAGATAATAGATGGAGACAGAATTTGGGGCTAGGCTCACTGGACAGTCACAATGAGGGGCCTTTCCTAGGCATATAATGTGAGGGCAGGCTGGAAGAAAAACTCAGTGCAGAGAAGAGGTGTGATTCGAGCACAGCACTAGGCCCTCTATGAGGCTGCCATGGCCGGTCATAGATAAGAGCAGCAAGTCACTCTCTTCTTCATGACTACTGCCCCAGACTACATTTCCCAGTCTCCCTTGCAGGAAAGAGAGCCAAATATCTAAGTCCCAGCCAATGAAATGTGAAGTAGAGTGACTTTCCAGTTGTTGGGGGTATCCTAAAATGGCAGAGCCACAACAGGGAAAGGGCCTGGACCCTGAGTGACTGAGAGGAACAGCCACTGCTCTTGGCCCCTGATTAACTTTCAAGGTGAGAGGTGGATTTTGTTGCAAGGCACAGAGACAGTAGTGGTGTTGGGTGCCACAGTTAGCTTGTCTCTACTAATCCATCATTCTACCAGCAGTGGTAGGGGTGGCTGTGACCTTGGCTCCGCATTGTCTTTCTGTTGGTCAGAGGGCATTCATTTATCAGCCTTCTAAACCAACTTTTTTTTTGTCTTTAAATAGTCTCTAATGCCCCCTTTAATAAAAATTTGGGAATATTAACAGTCAAGCTCTAATCCCTTCTGAGAGTCCTTCTCTCCCACTCCCACCACTGCAAAGCCCCCCACCCCGCCCATGGTCTCAAAGGTTGCTGCCGATAAAGGTCTCCAATTTAAAGCAGAGTCACTCTTGAAACAGCCAAACTTGGCAAACACAGCTGAAAGGGGCCACGACGGAAGGACTGTCACACAGAAGTCACAAGATGATAGCAATGACCACAAGAAACTTTCCAAACCTCAACTTACTAGACAAGTCACCACCGTAGGACCGCTGGGGGAGCACAGGGACAGCTGGTTATTTCTGCACCACCTAATACCCAAGCCAACACTGCAGCCCGCGGGCTTCCTCGGCAGCTGCTGTCGCTCAGTTATCAGTTTACCAGCTCCCAGTATCAGCATCAAAACAACTTACGTAACTTTCCTCCTTCCCAGTAAAACCCCAACATCTCTGACTTGTCTGTTTGCTTGCCTGCTTATTCTGAGACGGAGTCTCATGTAGCCTAGGCTGGCCTCCTGTAGTCCAAGCTGGCCTGGCCTGCCTTGACCTCCTGATCCCCCACCCCCTCAACCTCTATCTCCCAAGTGGTGAGATTATAGACCTGAGCCACCATGCCCTGCCTCTGTCCCACCCTGTCCCTTAGTTCTTTGGACGCATCAGCGTCTCTTCATGAGAAGTTACAGGCTTGCTTCATTCTTTGAAAGGGCTGCACAGGCCTGTAGCAGTTTATCTCATGAACCCCAACACTCTTCTTTCTCTTATTACTAATTATAAAAGAAAGCGTAAAGATATTTTATTTTTTTAACCACGTGTGTGTGTAAAGCGCGTGTGCGTGCGTGCGTGTGTGTGTGTGTGTGTGTGTGTGTGTGTGTGTAAAGTATGTGTGTGCGGGGGGAGTGCCCATAGAGGTCAGAGAGGGCACTGGATCCCCTGGAACTGGAGTTACAGGCAGTTGTGAGCCACTTGATGTGAGCGCAGGGAACCAACCAGCTCCTCTGAAATGGCAGCAAGATCACACGCCTCTGTGGTGCCAGGTTTCACTCTTGCGGACAATACCGAAGAGAACACCTTGTACAGCCCCCGGTGCAAATGCCTTCTCCAGGAGAAAGACTAGCAAGCAGATTTTCATTTATTTAGTGTTTACTTAATTTTTTGTCCTTCCAAGTTGTTGTACCAATTTGCATGTTAGAGTCCCACTTCCATGCACCCTCATTAACACTGAATGTCAAACCTTAATTTTTTAAAATCAATCTGATGAGGAAAATATGGTTCATGGCCGCTTAATGGCTTAGTCCCGTGATTGCTAGTGAAAATGAGCATTCTTCAAGTTTATTGACCATTTGAACTTCTTTTCTATAAATCGACTTTTTTTTTTAATCATTTGCTGAGTGTTCTATTGGGCCATTTATCTTTTTCTTATTGATTTGTTAGAATTCTTTATATATTCTGGATGCTTATCCCTTATCTACGATATAAATTGCGGATATTTTCTCCCCGGAGAGAGCTGCTCCAGCTTGTTTATGGTGTCTGCTGCTGTTTTGAAGTTTTACATTTTAACGGAGCACATCCCTCAATCTCTTCTTTTGCACTGCTTGCCTCCGGTCGCGCTGTTCTCAGCTGTGACACTGTGGGTCAGAGTAACAGCAGCCAGGAACATAAGCCTGGCTGGTCATGGCCTAGGGTTCAGCTTCAGCTCTGGGGAAGTGAGGGTGGACGTGGGGGCGGTGCTAAGAGAGGAAAGGAAGGCATCTCTCTCCCAGTGGGGACGTGGGAGTTGTAGTTCAGTGCTGGCGAAACCAGGTACCAGGTACACCACAAACTCTGTCCCACTCCTTCAGGCCTCTCTTATCTCCAGCTGCCTCCTCGTAACTTCCGTCCCAGTTTCACTGAATTCTTTAAACTAGGATTTTTATTATATTACTTATTTACTTTTGTGTGTATATGTGTGAGCATAGACACACCATGGAGCGTGTGTGGAGGTCGGAGGACAACTGAAGGGCTCAGTTCTCTTCCTCTATCAAGTAAGTGCCTGGACTTGAACCCAGATCATCAGGCTTGGCAGCCAGTACCTTTACCTGCTGAGTCCCAGTCTCACTGAATACTTCCAAACCAAATGCTCCCGGCTTTTCTCCATTTAGTATGGTTCTCTGGCTTTCAAAAGAGGGGAAAGAAACAATTGTGGCATTATTCAGAGCCCGACTCTGTGCTCAGCTGTTTGCCCGCCCTTTCTCCAGCCAGGCTGAGCTGCGGGAACAAAGCACCAAAGTCCCAGGGTCTCACAAATGTCAATGTCTGCTTTCCTCTGTGCTGTGTGTTCAGAACTGGCTGTGATTGGCAGCTTAAGCTTTGTTTTTCTTCCAGGATCCATAGCAGAGCTATTCCCTCCCCCCCCCGGTCTGGAACATGTTGTGTCAATCGGAAAGAGGACATGGAAAGCGCAGCCTGGCCCTGCCAGTCCCCACTTAGTGTGACATGCCACTTGCCTGACGTTCCATTGGCCCAAAGTGGGCTAAACACTGTCTTAACAGGACTGGGACTGATAGCATCACCTAGGGGATTCTGCTCATTGGGCCACTCCCACCTCCACGTGTAGAACATGCACATCTTCAGGCAGTTCGTGTCCCGCTCAACTGCTAGGTCAAGCACATGCTCCAAGTCCATCACTCTGTACGACGGACAGAGTGCCTTTCTCAGAGAAGAGAGAATTTGATTGTGCTCTGTCTCTGTCCGTCTGTCTGTCTGTCTCCCCCTTTTTCTCTCTGTGTGTGTATATAGCACACACATGTATACACATGCATGTGGAGGCCAGCGGCTAGCCTCACGTGGGGATCTTCTGGAGTGGTCCACTTTTTTGTTTGCTGAAGGAGATGTTTGAATCATTCCTGTCCAAGCTTGGGAAAGGGGCTAGAGACCATGTGCCCCCTAGAAGAACATTCCCCGTTTCCAAAACATCAGTCTCTGGGTTTTCTAGGTGACCATGAACGAAAGATTGCCACCTTTGGACCATGAGGAAGTTCTTTGAAGGGTTTATAGGGCAAAGTGAGCCTGTATTAACACAAGGAATGTGGCTAACCCCACAATGCCTATATCAGCGCCAGTCCATCATGGGTGGCAGTTCACGGAGGCCGCATCATGGAGTCTCCCTTCAGTTAACCTACTTCCACGTATCCTAGCACCAACTCAGATGGGGCAGGAAGGAGTCCGTGTCATTGTCTGAAACTGGTCTCTTGTTGGACTTGGGGTTCATTCAGTAGGCAAGGCTGACTAACCAGTGAGCTTTGGGAATCTGTCTCTACCTCAGTTCAAAGTTCTGCAGAGCAAAGTGATTGAGCCGCCACCCACAGCCTGGTACTGTGGTAAAATGAGACAGCATAATTACCCGGGAGAGACATGTGGAAGCTGCTGCCCAGTTCAGACACACTGCACATCCCAACAGCTCCCTCTCCTGGGCAAAGCAAGGTTCCCTGATTCAGTTCCCTTCAACCCCCCCACCCCTCCCAGAGGAGGGCCGAACCTAATATTTCCTATTACTTCCATTTTGTATAAGGCTAAACGACGTGAAAATTCATCTGGGGACCAAAAATAGTTGAATACTGGCAATTTCCTATTGGAGAATATGGCCATTTTGAAAACAGAGTGGATTTCTCAGCCTTTTTTCTATCTGTAAAAGACAGGAAGTCCCAGTCTGGAGACATGTCTCAGTCTTTAGATCATTTCTCGAGACCCTGGTTCTGTTCCCAGCACCCACAGGGAAGCTCACAACCACCTGTAGCTACAGCTCTAGGGGATGTCCTCTTCTGGTCTTCATGGGTACTGCATGTATGTGGTCCTCATGCATGAAGCCAAGTCCATGCAATGCTCATTCAGTAGAGAAGACAGAGGCCCAAGGGTCTTAAGTCTTGAGAAATTACAGTATCTGTTGTGTTGGGGGGGGGGTCACTATGAACGACAAAACAGTCTCCCGCAGGATATCACTCAGCTCACACTTTTAATGGTGTCTCTTTCAAGGTTGAGGGAATCACACTCGCAGAGGCTGAGTATGCAATCCCCAAATCACACAGTCAGTATGTTTTCAAGAAGACAAATGTAACCACTTCTGCTTCCTCTTCTAACTGGGATGGGTGTGGGGGTTATCACAGGTTATGGTGTGCAGGCGTGGGGTTATCACAGGCTATGGTATGCAGTCGTGGGGTTATCACAGGTTATGGTGTGCAGGCGTGGGGTTATCACAGGTTATGGTGTGCAGGCGTGGGAGTTATCACAGGCTATGGTGTGCAGGCATGGGGTTATCACAGGCTATGGTGTGCAGGCGTGGGGGTTATCACAAGCTATGGTGTGCAGGCATGGGAGTTATCACAGGCTATGGTGTGCAGGCTTGGGGGTTAGCACAGGTTATGGTATGCAGGCATGGGGCTTATCACAGGCTATGGTGTGCAGGTGTGGGGTTATCACAGGCTGTGGGTGTGTAGGGGTGGATCTCTCTGACTCTTGGTGCACAGCACCTGAACCTCTTAACAAGTCTTCCCTTAGCTCCTCAGTCCTAGGAGAGGACCTCTGGCTGGCCTGTCAGGGGTCATAGGTTACTAGCCCCACTATGATTGGTTCCAGTGGGGTCATATATTCTCTCCTGGTCAAATGGCTCAGGCAGGGGTTACGCAATAACGAACTGTGGCTTCAGAGGCAGCAGAGCACCTGGGGAATCGCTTTCATTCCCCATAAATAACCTAGCGTGGAATTATTGAGTTCTAGCTCTCTGCAGGCATAATGTAGCATCAGGAGCTCTGTTACACACACTGAGTGCATTTGACCCTCAAAATCCTGTGACGTCATCGCTAGCCTCACTGAGAAGTAGAGGCTCAGAGACTAAAGGAGCAGCTCTGTCTCACACCTTAAGCCCCTGATTAGAGTTCTTGGGGTGCCTTCTCCCAAAAGCCTTCAGGGACTTCACTACTTCTCTTTGCGGGCCTCTCTAAGCTCTCCTCCTGCTCCTTGGCCACCTGCTCTTTCCGAGGCTCATGAGCCGTCCATCCCCATACAGACACGTGCTCACCTTAATTCTCTTGCTGCATAAGTCCTGAGTGCCAGGTTGTACACGCCGAGGCCCCACTTTCGTGCAACTTTATTGTCCAGCAGGGAAGACAGACATTAAACAGATAATGACACTAATAATTATTTCATTGCAATTGTTAGAAATGTTATGAAGAAGTCCAGAGGGGGCTCTGAGCATTTACGACCGTGAAGTGACTCAGGAGGGTTGGGACAATGCCACCACAAAAGCGGTGTTTAGGTCGGGTTCTGGAAGGGTAGAAACCGACGGGAGGAAGAACAGATGGCAGGGGTGGAAGACAGCTTAAAGCAGTAACAAGATTCCAAGGCTCAGAGAACTTGGTACAGTGAGCCTGGGCGGGGGAGGA